ATTTTCATTAGTTTTTTGTCTCTCCGTTTGGCAGCAAAAAGAGTTTTTCTCCTTTGGAAGAGTATTCACTTGACAGCCTTTCTGTCCTCCAAGGCTACTGGAGTAAACCAGGTGAAGCTCCATTGTAGAATAGAGAATACATGGATTTTACAAACCCAGAACCAGAGGATACTTGTAGCTGTGTGATCTGGGACAGGTTCTTTAGAACTTATTTTTCTCATCTTTATATGTACTATAGGATTCTTTTTTCTACTCTTTTCCTAGCTATAGTGGGTTTTGCTGTGCTGTGATGGTGAATCCATTTACTGACCCTCCCCCACAAGATTAAGGTTTCTGGCTTTTCAGGGAGAAAGGTCTAGAGAAGTGAGCTGTAAGTCTTACCTTTCCCATAGCAATTGAGGATCATCCTCTGTAGGCCTGCATCAAAATAGGTTCTGTCTTTTCTGCTGTCTCAGGCTTTTAATACCTGGTTGAAACCTGTGGTCAACTGATAAAAAGAGATTTGGAGTGAGTGTAAATTCTTTGTCATTCCACACTGACAAGTTGGCGCACACTTGGTCTTTGACATTTGTTAGCATTTTGCCTGATTTGTTCTTACCTCTTTTTATCACGGAACCTTTTCTTCCTGGGTTCTGCTACAGGTGGTAGAGTTTGTGTGGCTCATCTTTTCTTGGAAAACTTATTCTTTGAAGTTCAAGTTACTTCAGCTCAAGGTGGGATTAAGAAAAACTAAATTTTTTATGTTGATTAAGTTATTTTCATTGTTTGTAGCATTTTATATTGTAAGTGGAGGCTAAACCCTGTTACTCTTTCGACTTTGCTTTTAGTGTTATGTTTTTTTAATGCAAAAAGTTACTTTTATGTTGATTGAATTTCTTAGTTCTTCTTTTTTTAAATTTGTTGATTCTTTATGATTTCTGACTTTTTAAATATTTTTGGAAAAAAGACCCACTCTGAGAATATTCTCCCATATTTTCTTCTATTTCTCTTTTTGTTGAGTATTTTTATTTCATAGGGAATTTAATTTGGTATAAGGTACAGCGATATCTAATGTTTTTTTAAATGAAAAGCCAGTTGTACCAAAATTATTTATTGAGTTATCTTTCCCCACTGCTCATAATTCTGCTGTAACAGAAATGAATTTATTTGTAGCAGAAAATCTGATTAGTAGTGGCTCAAATTCACAGGAGTTTGTCTCACACAAAATAAATCTACAAGTAGACAAAGCGTGGTTAGTATTAAACCTTAACAGAGCAAAACCTATACTTTTTCCATCTTTCTCCCTAGGAATCTTTATTTTTTTCTTTTTATTTTTTCAATATGAATTTTTTCTTTCCATTTATTTTTATTCATTGGAGGCTCATTACTTTACAATATTGTAGTGGTTTTTGCCATACATTGACATGGGTCAGCCATGGATTTACATGTGTTCCCCATCCCTCTGGGTCTTCCCAGTGCAACAGCCCTGAGCACCCGTCTCATGTGCCCTCATCGTTACAAAATGGCTGTTGAATATCAGTACAAAATCCAGTGAAAAGGGAAAGGGCAAAGGTTGAAGAGGTCATAGTAACCAACTTTGTCCATTTTAAAAGACTTTTTCCACAAGTCCCATCTACGGTATTATTTTCTAGGCTACTAGTGTAACTACTGTCATTGACCATCCTTTCCTTCAGTTCATCAGTTGAGTTCCTAAAGAAATAAAGTATTTTGGATATATGCAACCTAATGTTAATTGCAGCATTATTTACAGTAGCCAAATATGGATGAATGGGTAAAGGAAGTGTGGCATGTACACACATACAAGAAATAGTATTCAGTAGTTCTAAAAAGGAAATCTTGGAATTTGTGACAGCATGGGTGGTCCTTGAGGTCATTACACTAAGTGAAATAAGTCAGAGAAGGACAGATACCATATGATCCCATTTATACATGAAAAACACAGAAAAATGCTGGGCTCATAGATACAGAGAACATGTTAGTGTTTGTTAGTGTGGAGCAATGTACAAAATGGGTGAAGGGGGTATAAAGATATACATTTTCCAGTAATGAAATAAGTCCTGGGGATGTAAAGCATGGTGACAATAGTTATTAATACTTTATTGCATACTGGAAAGTTGCTTAGAGAATAGATCTTAATAGTTCTTACCACAAGAAAAACAAAACGTTTTGTAACTGTTCATGGTAACAGATATTAACTACACTTATTGTGGTGATTTTTTTAAATATGTACAGATATTGAATCATATTTTATACCTGGAACTAATGTTATATATGAAGTATACTTCAAAATAATACAAATATATAGATATATATATAAGTTCTCTAGAGTTGTTTGTTTTCTGCTACATTTGAATCTTTGAAGTATACTTATTTTTTATTTAGATTTTCCTAAATGCTCATTTTTTGGGCTTCCTTTCTTCTTGCTGTTGGACCTGAACAGAAAGATTATTTTCTTTCTGTTTCCTTGGGGCCCAGGTCAGGTTATGAGCTCTAAGTGGTTGACTTTCACAGTTGGTACAAAGCAAAAGAAACTCTCCCCTGGTAGGCTTTTGTGAAATAGAAGCACCAGGCAGCCTTCAGAGAAATACCTTGCCTTTCCATCCTGCTACTCTCTGCAATCTGTGTTTCCACATCCCCAGTCTAAAGAGCTGGGAAGATTGAGCCAGCCCCTTCAGTTCCTTTTTGGTCTCCTATAGAGATTAAGAGAGATTATATGGAGCTTATAGAGCATATATGGCTGTCTGAGGAGGCCTTAAAAATAGCTGTGAAAAGAAGCAGCCAAAGCAAAAGAGAAAAGGAAAGATACACCCATCTGAATGCAGAGTTCCAAAGAACAGCAAGGAGAGATAAGAAGGCCTTTCTCAAGGATCAGTGCAAAGAAATAGAGGAGAACAATAGAATGGGAAAGACTAGAGATCTCTTCAAGAATATTAGAGAAAGCAAAGGAACATTTCATGCAAAGATGGACTCAATAAAGGAAGAAATGGTAGGGACCTAACAGAAGCAGAAGATATTGAGAAGAGGTGACAAGAATACACAGAAAGTGTACAAAAAAGATCTTCATGACCCAGATAATCACGATAGTGTGATCATTCACCTAGAGTCAGACACCCTGGAATGTGAAGTCAAGTGGGCCTTAGGAAGCATCACTACAAACAAAGCTAGTGGAGGTGATGGAATTCCAGTTTACCTATTTCAAATCCTAAAAGATAATGCTGTGAAAGTGCTGCACTCAATATGTCAGCAAATTTGGAAAACTCAGCAGTGGCCACAGGATGGAAGGGGTCAGCTTTCATTCCAATCCCAAAGAAAGGCCATGCCAAAGAATGCTCAGACTACTAAACGATTGCACTCAGCTCACACGCTAGTAAAGTAATGCTAAAAATTCTCCAAGCCAGGCTTCAACAATACGTGAACCGTGAACTTCCAGATGTTCAAGCTGGTTTTAGAAAAGGTAGAGGAACCAGGGATCAAATTGCCAACATCCACTGAATCATCAAAAAATCAAGAGAGTTCCAGNGTGCTGAAAAATTGATGCTTCTGAACTGTGGTGTTGGAGAAGACTCTTGAGAGTCCCTTGGACTGCAAGGAGATCCAACCAGTCCATCCTAAAGGATATGAGTCCTGGATGTTCACTGGAAGGACTGATGCTGAAGCTGAAACTCCAATACTTTGGCCACCTGATGCTTAGAACTGACTCATTTGAAAGGACCCTGATGTTGGGCAAGATTGAAGGTGGGAGAAGAAGGGAATGACAGAGGGTGAGATGGTTGGATGGCATTACCAACTCAATGAACGTGAGTTTGAGTAAACTCCGGAAGTTGGTGATGGACAGAGAGGCCTTGCGTTCTGCAGTCCGTGGGATTGCAAAGAGTTGGAAACAACTGAGCGACTGAAGTGAACTAAACTGATAGAACATAGTATTCCATGTAGCAATCATGTGATACCAAAATTAACTTTTTTTGTGGGGTATGTAGCTAAGTGCCACGCTTTCCCCTTCTTTCTGTTCCAGGCTCTTGAGATTCTTTCAGATTCTTTGCTGTTGTAAGTATCTCAGTACTCTTTTGTGGGACACCAGCAGAGCTCAAGACCTCATTTGTATCCAATTTTCCTAGCCGCATTTTGGCCTGGAAAAAACAAATTAGCCACAAATTGAGAATAGTCAGATAACGAAGTTCACAGAAATTCTCACTCTTTGCCTTGTGAATTTCCATTTCCAAAATGTTTTAGGCTAGAGTGGGAAACCTCTGCTGGATTCAGCTGTCAGTTTTGTATTTTAAATAAGATGACACAATCTGGTGATACCAAGAGCCCATGGTAGGTTTTTTCTTTGAAAAGTTAATAAATTCAGTGCATCAACTATAGAGTTAAATGAAAGTTCATAGTAGAATTGGAAGAAACAGGGTTGAAATTTCAGATGTGGGAAGTTGGTTATACTCTTGAAATGCTTAACTCTTTAAGGTGTCTTATTTAAAATAATTGAAAACTGCTGTCACACATATCATGATTAGTTTGATCTGAATTCAGTAGCCAGTAATCCTTTCTAGTTAAACTTCTTTCTGTTTTTGTTTTCTTCTTTACTTTAAGTTACCTCAAAAGAATTGAAAAGTGCTGTCCCAAATATCATGATTAGTTTGATCTGAATTCAGTAGCAAGTAATCCTTTCTAGCTAAACTTCTTTCTGTTTTTGTTTTCTTCTTTATTTTAAATTACCTCAACTAGTTCCCAAGTACAACAAAACTTAAACTATTATTTGGAATGAATGGCTTAGAATAATGAATTAAATACTGGTTGTGAATAATAATTTTGAACACATTAACAATTATTTAGTTGGGGCGGATCAAAACAAGCAAAAAAGAGAAAGCCATCATGTACTTCTTGATATCTGTCCACATCTACTTTGAGAGAAAACGTTCTTTTTCCAGTAGGAGGAAAAAGAAATCGAACTGGATGTCATATATCATATTTAATATGTTCTTTTTTCTTTTTATCCCTTTTAGGACAGTGGTGATTATCCCCTTACCATGCCTGGACCTCAGTGGAAAAAATTCCGTTCAAACTTTTGTGAATTTATTGGAGTCCTGATTCGACAGTGTCAATATAGCATAATTTATGATGAGTATATGATGGACACAGTAATCTCACTTTTGACTGGTTTGTCAGACTCCCAGGTCAGAGCTTTTAGGCATACAAGTACTCTTGCTGGTAAGTAACTAACAGTTTGTTTCCTTTTCATTTAATTTTGTTAAATATATTCCATTCTAGTTGAGCTTTATTTAGATTAAATATTAATTTAAAATAATTACTTTACTCTTGGAAAACAGCTTTTCTCCAAAATTCACATGAATGGTTTGTATTCTCTTTTGGGCTAAAGCTTGTGCTTATTTTGATAACTGAGGTTTGATAGTCTTGAGAATGAAAATTGAAATTTTCTGACGAACGTTACCAAATCTCTTTCTGAATACATAGTTATTCTCTTGCATTTTTATTTTATAACCAAATAAGCTCTAGGAGTCCAGCGGGCCATATTCTTTGATAAAACCAAATAGTTGAAATTCCAAATTCACAGGTTTTTTCCTACTTAATTACATGGTTTCATTGTTACTATACATAAATGTGTAAATATTTGTTTATATATATATTTTTTAAACAGTTCCATCTAATTGTAATAGGTAATTGTGACGCAGCTAGGATTCTTTCTATTCCTAGTGGTATAATCACTTAAATGTAGTGTTTGTAAAATCAGTTCAAGTAGGTAGACTAAGTCCTGAAGAACTGATAGATTATCATTTTCCCTTTTGCTTCTGTTTTAGAATTATCTATATAACTTCTGAGTCAAGTATATTCATTTTCCCGTAACAAGATAAGTTTGTTAATTTAGCTGTTGTGAAGTTTTCAACGATTAGGTAACTGTGTTTACCTAAAATGACTAAATGACTTCTTTTTCTCTTATATATATGTGTATGTTTACAAAGAAACTGTGTGTTTGCATAAACATATATTTAAATATTCCCAAATTACATTCCTTTTAGTAGCAATAACTGACTATATTCAACTTATACACATTACCATGAAAAAATGAGATTTAATATAATTAATTGCATTTTATTTTGAATTTAAATTTCTCATTTATGTAAGTTATTAAATACATTGATTCTTAAATTTTAGCATTCACCAGAATCACCTCCAGGCCTTACTGAAACAGACTGTATGGCCTAGCCCCCAAGTTTAGCAGATTTCTAACTAATGCTGTTACTCTGGGCAGTGTGCATTACAAATCCTAGATTTAAAGTTTTATCATTTTCTTGTTTAACTTGTTGGCTAAAGCCAATGTGATAGTTTTATATAGCATCATCTGCATTTTTTCCATTTTTTTTCAATTATTTTCCTTCCCTATTCAATGTGATTAATCTATATCATTAGTGTCCCTTATTCCCTTAGTTGTAATTCTATATGGAACAAACATGGCACACAGTTATTCTTTTGAGAGTGTCCCTTTCCTATTTATTAGGTAAAGAGGAAGATCTTAATTTTATCTTCTTTATAAAGATAAAATCACAGTTTATTGTTGAGAAAACTTCCTGTATAGAACAAACATCAAGCACATTTTATTGTGTGTTTTAAGAGACTTTGTACCAAGTTATAGCTTTTTTGACAAGGTACTATAAATATACTACTTATTACTTAAAAGTTACCTGATAATATGTATTTTTTCTAATCCCATGACTTTCATTATTTTCTGCCCTTTATAGGTACTTTTTTCTTTTCTTTATATTTTCTATTTACTTTTCATCTATCATTCTTCTGTCTGTGTACAGCAACTCCCATTTATTTAGCTGTTGCTCAGATGCATTGTACCAAGAAAAATAGGAGATCAATGTTATGTTTATCCTTATTTTTCAAAAGCTAACCTATTTTTCAAGTTATTCTCAAATTTACTTCATAATACTATGTAATTTCTCTGTGTACATTAATGATCGTGTCTTCCAAAGTTCAGTTTCCTAAAAAGTGAGACACCAGTCTTGCCCTTCAGCAAAGTGGGAATCTTGCTGAGAATTTTAATTTCAGGCTGGATAATAATTTCATCTTTTCAAGGATTATTTTCTTTTCATCTTTGATCTCTTTATGGTTCTCCCCCCCCCTTTTTTTCTTTTATGGTATGTGTATGAGGGATAGATTTAAAGATAATCATTTTTATTCACTTTGCAGGACGAGTCTTGGGGACTAGATAAAATGGGCAGGAACATTTAATCCTCTGCTTCAAAGACTATGTGCATGGACAGTTACAAGGCAGTTATGGCCAGATATGATTATCGGCTTTGGAATAAAATGCTCCTTGACATTGCTTTTATCTTAGCTGAGAAGAGAGACAATCAGGTTAGTTGTTTTCTAGGGTACAGACAAGATAAGTTTTAGAGCTTCATAAGTCATCACAGTGGTCTTTTCAGTAGTACTTTTAATCTGTTTACCAATATCCCATTTTCTTGTTGTTAATTAATAGTGTGTCCCAATTTGTTAGTGTTTATGCATTGCATTTAATTGTATATTTTTGCCACATTTTTATTAAAAATTTTCACCATTTTGTAGTTTTTCAGGTTTGTCTATTCTTCAGGTAGAAGTACTTTCATTTTCTATTAGTGATAAACTGAACTTTCCCTTTTATTTTTGGAATTCTTGTTACCATTAAATTGAAACAAACTGTTAACAATTAGATTTTATATTACATTTTCCTTACTTTTTTTCTATTCTTTTAATTGTACTTGTAAAGCATACTCTCCTATTTGTCTGATTTATCTTCAATAAAGAAGCTTTACTTTGTAGTAAACTTTTCATTAACAATCTTCATAGTTAAGTGCCTTTGCTGTGAAGCTACATAGATAAATAGATAGCTAAATAGTTAAGGCATATTAGAACATAATTTGTGGAATTAATATATATAAGTAATATTTTGGTGGATTTACAACTGAGATTGGCCATATTTTCTTTCTCCAATTTCATGAAATTTTCATGAAAAAATGTTTTTCTCCTCCAGATCAAAAATAAGTAGGATTCCCTTTGTTTTACCACTTTGTTCTTTGGTATTATAAAGATAATTCTACTCTCAAAGGATCTATTTTTCATATTTATAGTTATATTATGCTCAGTCATTTGCTGTTTTAATCTATGCCAGTACTTTAGAAATTAACTTTAAAATTTTGTTAGAGAGCAAGATGAATAATGTTGGCTTACTTTTTTTATTTTTTGCTTTTTTCTCACCTACATAATTTTCTACATTAGAAATAGATTAATAATGGCTATGTCTCGCTTCTAAGGTAAAAATGCCAATTTGTACAAAGGGGGATTAACAGTACAGATTTTTATTAATAACAACATGGAGATTGATTCTGTTCAATTTTTTTCTAACGTGAATTATGGAACAATTAGAAAATATGGTTAAAATCACCATATGATAGGTGACTTCATTATGCTGGAAGGTTATCACTATTTAACAATAATGGGTGCCTCTCAGACTCTTGGGGAAGTAAACATTTCTTTTATATCTCATTGTTTTACATCATTGTGTTGGTATATGGTTGATTTTTATATTGACGTATGATTTGTTATTGATTAGCACTTCTTACCAAGTCAGCATCTCTGGACTTTTACTGAGGCAAGACAAGCTATATGAAATTTCTTTGTTCTCCTGTCATAGACCAAAAATAACCTTGTCTCAGTAAATTGATGTCTTTTCTTTGGCTTTCAGTTGCTGAAACCATATAATATAGGGTTCATAGAATGGGTTCTGAACCAGATTGTCTGAATAAATATCCTTTTCTGCATTTTACTAATTAGGTAATTTTGACAAGTCCATAATTTATTTGGCCTCACTTTCTTCATATGCAAAATGGGAAAGATGTTGATAACTATCTCATTAAAAGAAATTAGGAAAGCCTGAATGGTGCCTGACATTTAGTAAACTAGTGCTATTATTCTGTAATTACAAAAGGAGCCAGTAGTATTTGCAGTGTTTCCCTTCATTCATGTCTTTTTCCTTCAGAATTTATTGAACGTCTACTATTTTAGTAATAGAAGACATTAGAGATGGGGAAATCAGAAACAAACATGTAAATAAACAGATCTTGCCAAAACTATTATTAGGAAAACTAACAGTAGGCACTTTCATTTTATTTATCTTTTGGCTCTTCAATGCCAAATTCTGTTTATTAAATTCAGTAGCTATTTTATGACTCTTAACCAAATTGGATATGAATTTCTATATGGTAGACTTCTGATATTCTAGGATTAATGCCCAATAATTGACCAAAACTACAAGTGCCACTATATATAATTTTATACATAAAATATAGTAAAATTTTAAATGTAATTTGCTCTTTCGAATCTAAATATAGATAATTAGAGTAATGAAGAAGTATCATTTTCTTAGAATTATCTCTTATTTTCTGTCACCAGGTACAAAAGTTAGTTTTCTTTTGGGAGCTAGTTTTTGTAATGAAGTTACGATTTTTAAAATCATTTTATAAGCATGTCCTTTCTATGTCAACTTAGTGACCTTGGACAAGTTACATAACTTCAGTGCCTTACTTTCCTCATCTGTATAATGTTGATATGAATAGTTCCATTTTATTAGGAGTGTTTTGAGGCTTAAATGAAATAATTTGTGTTAAATGTTTCACGTATACAAGTCATTAAGTAAGTGTCTGATGTTATAATTATGATAGAATGACAAAGCTTCCTTGGTTTGAATCTAAAGAGGGCAGAGAAACTGAGAAAATCTTATAGATTTTCCATTAATGCTTTCATATTACACGTGTAAACATTTTCTGTACATACAAAATTACATATACAACTTAACGAATTCAGAAAAGGAAAAAAGTGCAAAAGTAAGAATCAGCCGTAATCATACCATTTCTGCCATAATCATACTGCTTCTTAATGTTGCCGTGACATGTTGATGTTTCCTTTTAGCTTTTTTCTCCACATATATGAGGATTTTTAATTTTTAAATAGATAATACGATATTATAATCAATTTTGTGGAATGCGTTTTCTGTGCTTTTAATTTTTTATAATTATGTTTAATATAGCAGCCTCATCTTCTAAAATCTAGCTGTCCTTTAACTAATGTAGCCTTTTCGCCATTATTTGGATCCTTTGTCTTCTGCTGGATCTCCTATCTTTTTGCCTTGGCTTTTTTTTTTTAATTCT